TAGGACTCGGATGCAAAGGAGGACTCGATCCACGAGGCTATAGAGCACAATCGCGGCATGGCACATCGCAGTTCAGCACGGCGCAGCACAGCACAGCCCTCGGCACGGTACATCCAGATCGATACATTCACTCAGCATTGCAACCTGGCAGGTTCTTTGGCACGTTCCGTGGCGCGTCCTGTGGCGAGTCCCCCTGGCACGTCGCGCGGCGCGTCCCCTGGCACGTCCCGTGGCACGTCCATTGGCACGTTCCGTAGCGCGTCCTCTTGGCACGTCCCGCGGTGCGTCCTGATGGCACGTTCCCTGGCACGTCGCCTGGCGCGTCCCTCGGAATTTTTCCCGGAAAGGGCTTAAGCCCAGGGTTCTCTTTTAGTTTGTAAACAAGTCCCCCGGTGCCTGCTTGAAGGAGGCCGGCGAATTTTTTCCCTGATAAATAACGAGGTCGAAGGAGGCCGGCGAATTTTTCCCTGATAAATAACGAGCCCGAGAATTAAAATTTGAGGATGTCTCGAGCGAAACGCTTGTTTTTGAGGCCGGCGAATTAAAATTTGAGGATGTCTCGAGCGAAACGCTTGTTTTTCAGAATTTGTTGAGGATGTCTCGAGCGAAACGCTGGTTTTGCAGAGTTGGGGATGTCTCGAGCGAAACGCTTGCTCCGCAGAGTTTGCCGAGAATGTCTCGAGCGAAACGCTGGTTTTGCAGAGCCGACCGCGACGCGGAAAAGCGCCCCGCGCGAAGGAATTTCGATGATGTCTCGACTAATTCCTTTGTTTTTGCACGATTTCCTGGAATTTTGGCAGGATGTCTCGAGCGAAATGCACGACCCCACCCTAGCACGACCATACCCCAGCACGACCACACCCCAGCACGACCAGACCCCAGCACGACCCCACCCCAGCACGACCCCACCCCAGCACGACCATACCCCAGCACGACCACACCCCAGCACGACCCGACCCCAGCACGACCCTACCCCAGCAAGACCACACCCCAGCACGACCACACCCCAGCACGACCTCACCACAGCACGACCACACCCCAGCACGACCACGCCCCAGCACGACCACGCCCCAGCACGACCACGCCCCAGCACGACCACCCCCCAGCACGACCACCCCCCCAGCACGACCACCCCCCAGCACGACCACCCCCCAGCACGACCACACCCCAGCACGACCACTCCCCAGCACGACCACACCCCAGCACGACCACACCCCAGCACGACCACACCCCAGCACGACCCGTCGATAAATCACAGGGTGCGGAGCACCCCAGCACGAACCCACCCCAGCACGACCCCACCCCAGCACGACCCCACCCCAGCACGACCACGCCCCAGCACGACCACACCCCAGCACGACCACACCCCAGCACGACCACTCCCCAGCACGACCCCACCCCAGCACGACCCCACCCTAGCACGACCACACCCCAGCACGACCACACCCCAGCACGACCCCACCCCAGCACGAGCACGACCATACCCCAGCACGACCACACCCCAGCACGACCCGACCCCACACGACCCACCCCAGCAAGACCACACCCCAGCACGACCACACCCCAGCACGACCTTACCACAGCACGACCACACCCCAGCACGACCACGCCCCAGCACGACCACGCCCCAGCACGACCACGCCCCAGCACGACCACGCCCCAGCACGACACGACCACCCCCCCAGCACGACCACCCCCCAGCACGACCACCCCCCAGCACGACCACACCCCAGCACGACCACTCCCCAGCACGACCACACCGCCTTGGTTGAGTGGTTGCCTGTCGTCGTGGAATGTTTCGTGGGGTGTCTCGTGGAATGTTTCGCGGGGTGTCTCGTGAAATGTTTCGTGAGGTGTCTCGTGGAATGTTTCGTGAGGTGTCTCGTGGGCTGTTTCGTGAGGTGTCTCGTGGGATGTTTCGTGAGGTGTTGCCCAGTTGGGTATCATGAAAACGTGTCCATGCTCCACATGTCTATATCCCTTTCCGGGTTCGTGGGTCCATCATGTTGGCGGCGCGTCTTCCTAGCATGCCCCCCCATGAATTAGCTCTTGGGCAACTACTATGTGCTCAGGCAGCTCGAGCTTAAGACCCAGATCAGTTCGGTCAGGACTCAGATGCAAAGGAGGACTCGATCCACAACGCTATAGAGCACAATCGTCACGTGGTACATCGCAATTCAGCACGGCGCAGCACAGCACTGCTTTCGGCACGGTACATCAAGATCGATACACTCAGCATTGCAATTTAACAAGTTCTTTGGCAAGTTCTGTGGCGCGTCCTGTGGCGAGTCCCCCTGGCACGTCGCGCGGCGCGTCCCCTGGCACGTCCCGTGGCACGTCCATTGGCACGTTCCGTAGCGCGTCCTCTTGGCACGTCCCGCGGTGCGACCCCGTGGCACGTCCCCTGGCACGTCGCGCGGCGCGTCCCCTGGCACGTCCCGTGGCACGTCCATTGGCACGTTCCGTAGCGCGTCCCAATGGCACGTCCCGCAGTGCGTCCCCATGGCACGTCCCCTGGCACGTCGCCTGGCGCGTCCCTCGGAACTTTCGGCGGCGCGTCTTCCTAGCATGCCCCCCCGTGAATTAGCTCTTGGGGAGCTACTATGTGCTCAGGCAGCTCGAGCTTAAGACCCAGATCAGTTCGGTCAGGACTCAGATGCAAAGGAGGACTCGATCCACAACGCTATAGAGCACAATCGTCACGTGGCACATCGCAATTCAGCACGGCGCAGCACAGCACAGCCCTCGGCACGGTACATCAAGATCGATACACTAGTACACTAAGCATTGCACTTGCCCGTCGCCCAATCAAGTGTCTTTGAAACGTTGCCATGTCTTACATTTCTATATTCCTTTCCGGGTTCGTGGGTCGATCATGTTTTTTCCCGGAAAGGGCGCGGGCCCAGGGTTCTCTTTTAGTGGGTAAACCTGTCCCCCGGTGCCAACTTGAAGGAGGCCGGCGAATTTTTTCCCTGATAAATATCGAGGTCGAAGGAGGCCGGCGAATTAAAATTTGAGGATGTCTCGAGCGAAACGCTTGTTTTTGAAATCCCGATCGATAAATCACAGGGTGCGGGCCACTTTTTCGTGTGTTGAGGATGTCTCGAGCGAAACGCTTGCTCCGCAGAGTTTGCCGAGGATGTCTCGAGCGAAACGCTTGTTTTGCAGAGCCGACCGCGACGCGGAAAAGCGCCCCGCGCGAAGGAATTTCGATGATGTTCGACTAATTTGTTTGTTTTTGTACGATTTCCTGGAATTTTGGCAGGATGTCTCGAGCGAAATGCACGACCCCACCCTAGCACGACCATACCCCAGCACGACCACACCCCAGCACGACCAGACCCCAGCACGACCCCACCCCAGCACGACCCCACCAGCACGTACACGCACGACCCCCCCAGCACGACCCTACCCCAGCAAGACCAACCCCAGCACGACCACACCCCAGACGACCTCACCACAGCCCCACGCCCCAGCACGACCACAGCCCACAGCACGACCACGCCCCAGCACGACACGCCCAGCACGACCACCCCCCAGCACGACCAGCACCAGCACGACCACGCCCCAGCACGACCACGCCCCAGCACGACCACACCCCAGCACGACCACACCCCAGCACGACCACACCCCAGCACGACCACACCCCAGCACGACCACACCCCAGCACGACCCGATCGATAAATCACAGGGTGCGGAGCACCCCAGCACGAACCCACCCCAGCACGACCCCACCCCAGCACGACCCCACCCCAGCACGACCACGCCCCAGCATGACCACACCCCAGCACGACCACACCCCAGCACGACCACTCCCCAGCACGACCCCACCCCAGCACGACCCCACCCTAGCACGACCACACCCCAGCACGACCACACCCCAGCACGACCCCACCCCAGCACGATCACACCCCAGCACGACCCCACCCCAGCAAGACCACACCCCAGCACGACCGCACCCCAGCACGACCTTACCACAGCACGACCACACCCCAGCACGACCACGCCCCAGCACGACCACGCCCCAGCACGACCACGCCCCAGCACGACCACGCCCCAGCACGACCACGCCCCAGCACGACCACCCCCCAGCACGACCACCCCCCCAGCACGACCACCCCCCAGCACGACCACCCCCCAGCACGACCACACCCCAGCACGACCACTCCCCAGCACGACCACACCGCCTTGGTTGAGTGGTTGCCTGTCGTCGTGGAATGTTTCGTGGGGTGTCTCGTGGAATGTTTCGCGGGGTGTCTCGTGAAATGTTTCGTGAGGTGTCTCGTGGAATGTTTCGTGAGGTGTCTCGTGGGCTGTTTCGTGAGGTGTCTCGTGGGATGTTTCGTGAGGTGTTGCCCAGTTGGGTATCATGAAAACGTGTCCATGCTCCACATGTCTATATCCCTTTCCGGGTTCGTGGGTCCATCATGTTTCTTAGAAAGGAGATTCAATGTGCTGCTATTTATGCGGTGCCATAATTGTGGAGCAATGCAAAGGGAGGCCATGCAAAGCAAAGCAAAGCAATGCAAAGCAATGAGAAACAACAGATCACGACGGGCGGCGACGAGGCGGCGACGGGGCGGCGGCGGCGGCGAGCACGTAGCCGCCAGACCGGCGCGCAGGCCCAGGCCACGGGCGGCGACGAGGCGACGACGGGGCGGCGACGGCGAGCACGGTGCCGCCAGGCGGGCACGCAGAGGCAGTTCCCTAAGTACAAGCACTGTTTTGGGAAGCTATTTTTCAAAAGTCTACGGCGGCCCCGGAACGCCCCAAGAGGACCTCTAGACTGCCCAAATCAGCCTGCGGAAGGCGCCAAGAGAGCCCCAAGACGGCTCAAGGGAGCGCCACAAAGGTCCAAAGGAGTTCCCACATATCCGCAAGGCGCCCCAAGGTGACCCAAGAGGTCCCAAGAACCTCCTCAGAGGCCCTGGGAATTGGGAGTCCCACGAGAGCCTGCAGCCACTCCAGGAAGAGCCCGAAAAGACCCACTTCACTCCAAGCTGGCCCCACTTATTGTTCACCCCCTCCCCGCGCTGGCCCTGTACAGCTCGAAGATTTCGAATGATTGACCTCCTCTGTGCCCGAGCGCACGTGGCCCCCGAGTGTCCGTGCGTCTCTGTGGGTCTTTGGGATGCTTTTGGCTTGTGTCATTTGTTGCTTCGCATGGCTTCAGGAGCACCTCGGAGGAGCCTCAGACGCCCCGAGAGGCCAGGGTCACCTTGCGGTCGTTTGAGAGATTCCGTAGTGCACGCTTCTGTCCTCCCTCAACCTCCCCCTCCCCCTTTCCTTTCTCCTGGGCTGCCGGTGGAGATGCTGGTAGTGCGCAGTCGTCTCACGTGGCTGATCGTGCCGAGGCATGTTGCCCGTCATACAGGTGTGTACCTTTGCAGTTATTGTTCACTTCTTCCGTGCCCGCGTTGCATAATAACAAAATAGTGAGGTGTGTGTGTGTGTGTGTGTGTATGTGCGCGCTCGGCACGCATGTGCTGTTTGGAAATCGATATCTGCCGTGGGCATGGGGTCGGTCGGTCGGTGGAGGAAGACTCCAGTGCAAGATTTAGCTGATTTCGCACCTTCCCAGATATCGAATCGAAAATGGATGGGGGAGGGGGGAAAACGGGTGGTGCAACGGAGGTCAGGAGAGGCGGGGGGGAGAAACAAACGGGAGGGGAGGGGTATTCTGGGGGTGGAGAAGAGGAGAGTCAAGGGGGACGAATGGAGGGGGAACCTAAGCGCGCGCGAAGTGCGCGCGCGGTTCTGTTAGATAAACAGATGTTTGAATGGCCTCCGGCTGTGCCGCCGATCTGGGGTGTTCCTGTTGATTGAAGGCCACCACTGCGCGGCGAGGGGCGAATAGGCGGTGTTCGAAGGTCTCCGCTGGACCTTGCAGTCGGTGGATTACTGCTGGTATAGACATGAGCATAGCTTATCGGGAATGTTTCGGGTCCGACGTCATGTTCTGAACCTCGCTGCGTCCGTAGCCGCTTTTCCTCCAGTGGCGTGATTTCAGAGCGCGCCAGGGCGCGACGACCGACGACGACCGACGACCGAGACCGACCGACTAACCGAGCGACCGGAACTTCGACGACCGACGACGACCGAGCGACCGACCGACCGATACGACGAGGATCGACGACGACCGACGGACGGACCGACCGACCGACCGACCAAGACGACGACGACCGACAACCAGAACGACCGCTCGACCGACACCGACGACAAGACCGATCGAGGTCCGCGCGCGGACTGCCCCCATGTGGTGGCGAGGCGTGAAGACAATGCTAGGAGCCCCGCCCCGGGGCCCGCGCCCTTCCCCCCCCTCCCCTCTTTCTATCCTGAACATCCTAAGCGGGATGTGATTCTTTCAATTTTTACAAGTGGAGGTGCTCCAGCCGCTCATGCCGACCCCTGCTTTTTTTCCCGGAAAGGGCATGGGCCCAGGGTTCTCTTTCAGTTTTTACAAGTGGAGGTGCTCCAGCCGCTCATGCCGACCCCTGCTTTTTTTCCCGGAAAGGGCAAAGGCCCAGGGTTCTCTTTTTCTATGTAAACATATCCCCCCGTGCCCAACTTGAAGGAGGCCGGCGAAATTATTCCCTGATAAATATCGAGGTCGAAGGAGGCCGGCGAAATTATTTTTGAGGATGTCTCGAGCGAAACGCTTGTTTTTCAGAATTTGTTGAGGATGTCTCGAGCGAGACGCTGGTTTTGCAGAGTTGGGGATGTCTCGAGCGAAACGCTTGGTTTCAGAATTTGTTGAGGATGTCTCGAGCGAACGCTGGTTTTGCAGAGCCGACCGCGACGCGGAAAAGCGCCCCGCGCGCAGGAATTTCGATGATGTCTCGACTAATTCGTTTGTTTTTGTACGATTTCCTGGAATTTTGGCAGGATGTCTCGAGCGAAATGCACGACCCCACCCTAGCACGACCATACCCCAGCACGACCACACCCCAGCACGACCAGACCCCAGCACGACCCCACCCCAGCACGACCCCACCCCAGCACGACCATACCCCAGCACGACCACACCCCAGCACGACCCGACCCCAGCACGACCCTACCCCAGCAAGACCACACCCCAGCACGACCACACCCCAGCACGACCTCACCACAGCACGACCACACCCCAGCACGACCACGCCCCAGCACGACCACGCCCCAGCACGACCACGCCCCAGCACGACCACCCCCAGCACGACCACCCCCCCAGCACGACCACCCCCCAGCACGACCACCCCCCAGCACGACCACACCCCAGCACGACCACTCCCCAGCACGACCACACCCCAGCACGACCACACCCCAGCACGACCACACCCAGTCGCACCCCCGTGGAATGTTTCGTGGCGTGTCTGGTTGAGTGGTTGCCTGTTCGTGGGGTGTCTCGTGGAATGTTTCACGGGGTGTCTCGTGGAATGTTTCGTGAGGTGTCTCGTGGAATGTTTCGTGAGGTGTCTCGTGGGATGTTTCGCGGGGTGTCTCGTGGGATGTTTCGTGAGATGTCGCCCAGTTGGGTATCGTGAAAACGTGACCATGCTGCACATGTCTTTATCCCTTTCCGGGTTCGTGGGTCCATCATGTTCCCGGAAAGGGCGTGGGCCCATGGTTCTCTTTTAGATGGTCTTCCCCCCGGGTTTTACTTGAAGGGGGCCGGCGGAATTCTTGTGCGATAAATTACGAGGTCGAAGGGGGCCGGCGGATTTCAATTGTGAGGACGAAGGGCATTTTTCGCCACCCCTCACGCAGATCGTGCTCTTGGAATTTTACTGCCTTTAAGGAAACCTCGATATTTCACAGGTGAAGTCCACTTTTTTCCGACATCGACTTTAAACAATAAAAAAACTAAGTAAACGCGTTCGCTCGATAAATAACGAGGTACCGCGGCCTCCGGAACGGCGCTGGGAACGGAGTTTTGGATTCTTGAAGTTGCATAAGTTCGGAAATAACAGAAATCCCATTTGTTTTTTGACCCTGACCCCGCCGATCTGCGTGAGGTGTGGCACGGAATACCAGAAATGTGTCAAATCCCCTGTGTTTTTGGACCCTGATCCCGCCGATCTGCGTGAGGGGTGGCGCGGAATTCCAGAAATGAGGCAAATCCCCTGTGTGTTTCGGATCCTGACCCCGCCGACCTGCGTGAGGGGTGGCACCGAATTTCAGAAATGTGGCAAGTCCCATGTGTTTTCGGACCTTGACTTCGCCCAGGAGGGCCCAGGAGGCTCCAGGAGAGCCCAGGAGAGCCCAGGAGGGCCCAGGAGAGCCCAGGAGGGCCCAGGAGGACCCAGGAGGCTCCAAGAGGCACCTAGGGGGCCCAAGGAGGGCCCAGGAGAAGCTCCAGGAGAGCCCAGGAGGGCCCAAGAGGTCCAAGGAAGACCCAGGAGGGCCCAGGAGCCCTTACGAGGGATCGTGGCCCTGGGAGCGCTGACGTAGCGTAATTTACGCGGGATCGTGGCCCTGGGAGCGCGGGTGTAGTGTAATTTACGAGGGATCGTAGCCCTGGGAGCGCGGACGCAGTGTAATTTACAAGGGATCGCGGCCATGGGAGCGCGGGCGCAGCGTAATTTACGAGGGATCGTGGCCCTGGGAGCGCGGGCGCAGGTAATTTACGAGGGATCGTGGCCCATGGCACGTCCCCTGGCACGTCGCCTGGCGCGTCCCTTGGGACGTTCCGCGGCGCGTCCTCCTGGCATGTTCCCTCTGTCGATTAGTTCTGGGGCAGCTACCATCTGCTCAGGCAGCTCGAGCTTACGCTCCAGATCAGTTCGGTGAGGACTCGGATGCCAGGGAGGACTCGATCCACAACGCTATATACAGAGCACAATCGCGGCATGGCACATCGCAGTTCAGCACGGCGTAGCACAGCACAGCCCTCGGCACAGTACATCATCATCGATACATTCAGCATTGCATTTGCCCGTCGCCCAATCAGGTGTCTTTGAATTGTTGCAATGCCTTACATTTCTATATCCCTTTCCGGGTTCGTGGGTCGATCATGTTCGAGGGACAACGTCCCAGCCGCCCACGGTGTGGTTACAAGGGGGAGTGCTCCAGTCACCCATGCCGACAAGACGAGTGGGCTCCAACCTTTAATCCCCACGAGGTAAAACGCTCCAGCCGCCCACGGTGTAGGTTAAGGCTGACAGTTTTTACGAGGGGTAGTGTTCCAGCCGCTTCTGCTGACAAGACGAGTGCGTTCCAGCCTTTCACTTCTATGAAAAAAACACGGCTTCAATCAAACTCGGCGAACACACCCCGTCCAAATGTAGACTAGCAAATCAGATAACCGCCTGGCCAGTCAGTGGACTATTGTTAGGGGCGCAGTGATTTCGTATTATCGGAAATGCTTCGAGTCCAAAGGCACATTTTGAACCCCACTGCGTCCGTAGCATATTCGGCTCTAGTTGCGCGACTTCAGAGAGCGCCAGGGCGCGACGACCGACCACGACCGGCGACCGACCACAGGACCGAACGACCGACCGACCGACCGAAACGACAACGACCGACGATGACCGACCGACCGAGACGACGATGACCGACGACGACCGACGGATCGACCGACCGACCGACCAAGATGACGACGACGGACGACGACGACGACGACCGACGCATCGACCAATCGACCGACGCCGACGACCAGACCGACCGACCGAACAACTGCATGCGCACAAGCGCGCGCGGACTGCTCCCATGTGGGAGCGAGGCGGGAACGAAAACCCTCAGCGGGTCGTGATTCCAGCCTTCAATTTTCAAAGGGAACGTGTTCCAACCGCTCATGCCGACAAGACAAGTGCGCTCCAGCTTTTATTCCCGGAAAGGGCGCCTGCCCAGGGTTCTCTTTAGGATGGTAATTTGTCCCCGGTGCCATGCGGGAGGTGGGCCGGCGGAATTCCGCTCGATCAAAATGGAGGTAAAGTCCAATTCGGCGTGAAAAAAATGCGTTTCGCGCGTGCCCGCTCGAAGTCGACCCCCCTATCTCGGATCCTCGATAAATAACGGGGTCCGCGAACCACCGTTTTCCTTTGTAAAATGCGCGCAGGAATTCAGAGGATGTCTCGCGCGTGCCGCGTCCCGCGCGCAGGAATTTCGAGGATATCTCGACTAATTCGTTTGTTTTGCCAGGATTTCCTTGGATTTTACAGGATGTCTCCAGCGAAACGCTTGTTTTTCATGATTTGTTGAGGATGTCTCGAGCGAACCGCTGGTTTTGCAAAATTGAGGGGGTGTCTCGAGCGGGGGCCTCGTGGGGGGCCACGATTCAGAGGATGTCTCCAGCGAAAGGCTTGTTTTCACGTCCCGCTCGCAGGAATTCCAAGGATGTCTCGCGCGTGCCGCATCCCGCGCGCAGGAATTTTGAGGATGTCTCGGCTAATTCGTTTGTTTTGCCAGGATTTCCTTGGATTTTGACAGGGTCTCTCGAGCGAAACGCTTGTTTTTTTGCATAATTTGTTGAGGATGTCTTGAGCGAAACGCCAGTTTTGCAAAATTGGGGGTGTCTCGAGCGGGGGCCTCGTGGGGGGCTAGAATTCAGAGGATGTCTCAGGCGAAATGCTTGTTTTCACGTCCCGCTCGCAGGAACTCCGAGGATGTCTCGCGCGTGCCGCGTCCCGCGCGCAGGAATTTTGAGGATGTCTGGTCTAATTCGTTTGTTTTGCCAGGATGTCTTTGGATTTTAACAGAATGTCTCGAGCGAAACGCTTGTCCCCAGCACGTTCCGCAGCGCGTCCCCTTGGCACGTCCCGCGGTGCGTCCCCATGGCACGTCCCTTGGCACGTCGCCTGGCGCGTCCCTTGAGACGTTCCGCGTCGCGTCCTCCTGGCATGTCCCCCTGTCAATGATCTCTGGGGCAGCTACTATGTGTTCAGGCAGCTCGAGCTTACGCTCCAGATCAGTTCGGTGAGGACTCGGATGCAAAGCAGGACTCGATCCACGAGGCTATAGAGCACAATCGCGGCATGGCACATCGCAATTCAGCACGGAGCAGCACAGCACAGATTTCGGCACGGTACATCAAGATCGATAAATTCAGCATTGCAACCGGCACGTTCCGTGGCGCGTCCCGTGGCGAGCCCCCCTGGCACGTCGCGTGGCGCGTCCCCTGGTACATCCCGTGGCACATCCATTGGCCCGTTCCGTAGCGCGTCCCCTTGGCACGTCCCGCGGTGCGTCCCCATGGCACGTCCCTTGGCACGTCGCCTGGCGCGTCCCTTGGGACGTTCCGCGTCGCGTCCTCCTGGCATGTCCCCCTGTCGATTAGTTCTGGAACAGCTACCATTTGCTCAGGCAGCTCGAGCATAAGATCCAGATCAGTTCGGCCAGGACTCGGATGCAAAGAGGACTCGATCCACAACGCTATATAGAGCACGATCGCGGCATGGTACATCTCAGTTCAGCACGGCCCAGCACAGCACAGCCGTCGGCACGGTACATCAAGATCGATACACTCAATATTGTTCCTTGGCACGTTCCTTGGCGCGTTCCGTGGCGAGTCCACTTGGCACTTCGCGCGGCGCGTCCCCTGGCACGTCCCGCGGCACATCCATTGGCACGTTCCGCAGCGCGTCCCCTTGGCACGTCCCGCGGTGCGTCCCCATGGCATGTCCCCTGGCACGTCGCCTGGCGCGTCCCTTGGGACGTTCTGCGGCACGTCCTCCTGGCATGTCCCCTCTGTCGATAAGTTCTGGGGCAGCAACCATTTGCTCAGGCAGCTTTAGCTTAAGATCCAGATCAGTTCGGTCAGGACTCGGATGCCAGGGAGGACTCGATCCACAACGCAATATAGAACACAATCGTGGCATGGCACATCGCGGTTCAACACGGCGTAGCACAGCACAGCCCTCGACACAGTACATCAAGATCGAAACATTCAGCATTGCATTTGCCCGTCGCCCAATCAGATGTCATTGAACGTTGCCATGCCTTACATTTCTATTTTCCTTTCCGGGTTCGTGGGTCGGTCATGTTGGGTTCTAAGAACATTTCGTGGTAGGACTACATGAATGCCCGGACGGTCGGTCCCTGCTCAACCAACATGCTACAGCCAACCCGCATGGTGAGGATGGGCAACCTTCCCAAGGATACCCTTGCATCCTTGCCTCCTCGGTGCATCCTTAGCCACTTTCGTCGGCCGCGCCCCACTCGAGAAGCTTCGGCATGGGCATCCAAGGCCCTTGCATCCTTATCGCGCATCCTTATGATACGGGCCGACTGTAGTACATACGATGTGTGCGTCGTCCCCAGAGGGGCGACGCGCTCGCCGAAGATATCTCATAGCTCGCTCTCGGTGGCGGGTGCTTTCCAGCCGTATCTCTGGGGAAGCACTGTGCTACAACTTTGTCCTATACGTTCGGGTTGGGCTCGCGCCTCCAAGGAGGACACACCGTACTAGTATGTCCGTGTGCGTCCCATGGGCGAGAGAACATGGCGCGGTAGGTTCGCGTCGTGTCGACCGGCGGCGACCCCGCCGCCGGCGTTCAACGTTACACGCCGCCGGCGATCCAGCATCGGTCGTTGTTGAACGATCTGACGTTTAGGAAACGGCCGATCCTTCAAGGTTGAACGATTCCCGCGGTGTCAGGAACCAACGCTGGGTCGGCACGACACGAACCCGTGGCGCACACATACACACACATACATACATCGCATTGCGGGGAGCGCACCGAGATGGCCCGAAGCAGCATCAAGTCAGCGCGACTGGGCGCCAGCACCGAGACACAGCGCGGGCCTGATCCGCCGCCTGCGTGCAGCGCCTTCGGCGTCGGCTAGACCCTAAGCGCGCGCGTAGCTTGCGCGTGGTTCTAGTCTGAAGCCCCGCCGTCCGCCATCGCCGCCGCCACAGCCGCCACCATCGCCGCCCTCCACCTCCTCAACCTCCCCTTCCTCCTCCCATCCTCCCCTCCCCGTCCTGCCCCCCCATTCTCCTCCTAGAGACTTTGGAGACTCTCCTCCCCCCCCCCTCCCCCTCCCCCCCTCCTCCTCCGTCCTCCCTCCTCCTCTCTTCTCCTCCCTCCTCCTCCTCCTCCTTCTCCTCCTCCCCCTCCTCCTCCTCCTCCTCCTCCTCCTCCTCCTCATCATCATCATCATCATCATCATCATCATCAATCCTCATCCTCACCTCATCCTCATCCTCATCCTCATCCTCTTCCTCCGCCTCCTCCTCCTCCTCCCTCCCCCTCTCCTCCTCCTCCTCCTCCTCCTCCTCATCCGTCCTCCTTCCTACTCCTCATTTTCGTCCTCCTCCTCCTCCGTCGTCCTCCTCCTGCCTCCTCCTCCTCCTCCTTCCTCCTCCTCCTCCTCTTCCTCTTCCTCCTCCTCCTCCCTCCTCCTCCTCCTCCTCTCCCCTCCTCCTCCTCCCGCTTCCTCCTCCTCCTCCTCCGTCGTTCTCCTCATCCTCCTTCTCCTCCTCATCCGTCCTCCCGTCACCTCCTCCTCCTCCTCCTCCTCCTCCTCCTCCTCCTCCTCCTCCCTCCTCCTGCGATGACGACGCCGGCGACGACGGTGGCGGCGGGCCCTATGCGCCCGAGGCCGAGGGCAGCCCGGGGGTGGCACCTTCGCCGACCCCGGCGCGAGAGGCCTGGCGCCCCATCGCGACGACCGACGACGACGACGACGACGACGACGACTGCGACGACGACGACGACGACGACGACGACGACGACGACGACGACGACGACGACGACGACAACGACGATGACGATGACGATGACGTCGACGACGACGGTGGCGGCGTCGACGACGGTGGCGGCGACGACGGTGGCGGCGACGACGACGGTGGCGGCGGCGGCGACGACGACGATGACGGCGGCGGCGGCGCCGTCGAGGACAACGGCGATGACGACGGCGGCGGCGGCGGCGACGCGCGAGAGGCCCTGGCGCCCCATGGAGCGGGGGGCCCTCCAGCGGAAGGGCATGGCCGCCCGCTCGGCTGCGCCGGCGATCCGCGCGCGATCCGCGCTCAGGGGAGGGCCAGTTGAGACAGCGGTACATGGAACAAATCAAGCCGGAGGTCTTTCGTCGTTTTCGGAGTCTGGGGGCCTTCGCCGGGTCCGGGGGCCGTGCAAAACGACCCGGGAAGAAAAACCTGTCCCCAGGAAGTGGTGAGGCGCCCCGGGAAGCCCGCACATCGAAAAATCAAGGCATCGGAGGTTTGGGTGGTTGGCTTGTGGGGGGAGCCCCCTCGACGCCACCTGCTGGACGCAGCTGGAAGAGCTGGTGCGTCCCTTGAGATCCGACGATGCGACATTACCTTGGCGAAGGACCCGACCATCGGAGGTTCGAGGGTGAGGTCGCAGTAGAATGGAGAGCCCCCCAACGGGAAATCGGTTTCGGTTTCGTGTTCGTGTCGTGCGTGCGGGCGAGGCGAAGATGCGTGGGCGCGCGACAGGAATGATGCCGCCGTGGCTAGGGGACGCGGAGCCGTTTGACCGCCCCGCCCCCGGGCGCGCGGTGGCCTGGGGTGCCCCGCCGGTGGTGCGGGGGTGCCCCGTCGGTGGTGCGGGGGTGCTCCCCAGTGGTGCGGGGGTGCCCCGTCGGTGGTGCGGGGGTGCCCCGTCGGTGGCGGGGGGTGCCTCGTCGGTGGCGCGATAGTGAGATCGATAGTGGGATCGATCGTGAAATCGATAGTGAGGTCGATAGTGGGATCGATAGTGAGATTTGTGGTGAGAGCGATCGTGAGACCGATAGTTAGATCGATACCCCGTCGGTGGCGGGTGGTGCCCCGTCAGTGGTGCGTTAGTGAGACCGATAGTGAGATCGATCGTGAGATCGATAGTGTGATCGATAGTGAGATCAAAAGTGGCATCGATCGTGAGATCTATGGTGAGGTCGATCGTGAGCTCGATAGTGAGATCGACCGTGAGACCGCTAGTGAGATCGATCGTGAGATCGATCGTGAGACCGATTCTGAGACCGATGGTGAGATCAAAAGTGATTTCGATAGGGATCGATAATGGTTTCCATTAATAGATGAACAGAGAGATAGGGTGCTCGATGTCGAGATCGGTATTGAGATCGACATAGAGGTCGATGATGGAATCTCGTGTGAGGTCGTTTGTAAGATCCATTATGCATTCTCACCATCCGCAGCATCGTGCATCGTCGCTGTCTCGTCGCCATCAAAGTCGTCGAAGTTGTCGTCAGCTGCTTTTCCCTCCCCCCAACCTCCTTATCACCCGAAGGGTGGTCGTACAGGTATGCAGCTGCGAGTACCGCGAGGCAAATAAGCAGAAGGAGAGGGACGAGCAAAATGACGGACTGACGCCCATATCCTGGTTGGGCGGCTCCGTGCGTACGCCGCCACTGGGGCCGAGGCCGCGAAGCATGCGAGCCTTGCCTCAGGGCGAAAGGGATCGGAGCGGGCAAGAGGCGGGGGATGGCACTGGTAAGGGCCCCTCACCCGTGCCATCCCTCGCCACAAAGCGGTGGAGCTATGGGGCCACACAGAGTGTGCCAGAGTGCTGAGATGGCTGCGGTGGTGGCATGCGGACCCTGCCACTGGGGTCTGCGGTGGAGCTCCCTTCGGGGCCACGAAGCGTATGAGGGGTGTGCCGAAATGGACGCGGTGGTCGCATGCGAACCCTGCCACTGGGGCCTTCGGAGCACTCCCTGTGAGGCCGCGGAGTGTGAGGGATTTGCTGCGATGGTTCCGGTGGTGGCGTGGTGGCATGCGACCTTGCCACTGGGGCCTTTGGTGGAGCTCCCTTTGGGGCCGCGAAGCGCGACAAGGGTATACCGAAATGGACGCGGTGGTAGCATGCGGGCCGTTCCCATGGGGCCTTCGGTGGGATTTCCCGCTGCGGCCACGAAACCTGTGAGGGGTGTGCCGAGATGTGCTGTTGTGGCATTCGGACCCTCCCACTGGGACCTTCGGTGGAGCTCCCTATTTTACTGTCCAACCCTTGGTAACGAAAAGGCGGCGTGCACGAAATCCTTTCCAAACGAAAAGGCGTAGGTAAGTGGCGCTGCCGCGCGCGGAGGGGTCCGCTGGCCGCGCGTTGCTTTTCATTGATCCCGTGATAGTTGGCCGTCGTGTTTTGTCATGTTTGCGCATAGCGTGGCATGTTTGTTGTAGTTCCTGGCAGTGATTTGCAAAGCGAGTGCTGCCCGAACGCGACTGCATTCCTGCACGACAGCGAAATTGCGGTCGCACGAACACGACATTGTTCTCGCACGGACACGAAATTGTTGCCGCACGGACACGAAATTATGCTCTCACGGGCGCGAGACCCATTCCGCACGAACAGGACATGAGGCACGAATTGCTGCGCGAGCTCCAGCACGGAATGCGCCACGAAATGCCGTACGAAATTGTCAGTGCGAAATTGTTGTGCGAATGTCTCTGGGGCGTTTCTGTTTTTCTCCACATGTTTAGTGTTAACTCGGGCCTGTCCCTCTACAGGAGGAATATTCAAAAATAAGCAAGCCCGACCTAAGCATAGTGCGGTTCTTGTATTCTTCACACCCGCATCGCACTCGCGTTCACACCCGCCTCCCCTCCTCACCCTTCCTCGGTACGTAATTCCCGACATTTTTCGTGGGTTTCTGGTTATCTTCCCAACCGCGTCTCACCCGCGTTTCTCCTCCTCATTCTCTTCCCCCATCGTCTCGCTCGCACAGCTCGCAAAGCGTGGCAGGCGCGGCACTTGCTCGACACCGGGGGGTTGCGCAGGAGGGGGGTTGAGTGCGGCCTCTATGCGTGCCAGGGTCTGAGAGCGTGGCAGGCGTGGCATTTTGTCGACACTAGAGGGGGTGCGCACGTGGTGGGGGCGCTAGGCGTTGCAGGCTCGCAGGGCGTGGCAGGCGTGGCATTTTCTCGACACCATAAAGGGGGTGCGCAGGGGGGATCTCTCACCGCGGCCGCTATGCGCGACGGTCGTCCACGGCATAGCAGGCGTGGCACCTTCTCGACACCAGGGGGGGTGCGCAGGGAGCGGTCTCTCACCGCGGCCGCTATGTTCGCTGGTCGTGCATAACACAGCAGGCGTGGAATTTTCTAGATTCTAGACACTGTAGGGGATGCGCAGGAGGTGGTCTCCCACCGCGGCCGCTATGCACGTCGATCGTGCAGGGCATTGCAGGCGTGGCACTTACTCGACACCATAGGGGGTGCGCAGGGGGTGGTCTCTGAGCGCGGCCGCTATGCACGTTGGTCGTGCAGGGCATAGCAGGCGTGTCACTTTCTCGACACCATGGGGGTGCGCAGGGGGTGGGGATCTGAGCTTGGCCGGTATGCACGCCGGTCGTGCAGGGCATTTCAGCCGTGGCACTTATCGACACCATAGAGAGAGCGCAGGGGGTGGTCTCTGAGCGCGGCCGCTATGCACGCCGGTCGTGCAGGTCATAGCAGGCATGGCATTTTCTCGACACTGGTGCGCAGGGGGTGGTCTCTGAACGCTGCCGCTATGCGCTATGCACGTTGGCCGTGCAGGGCATTTCAGGCGTGGGACTTACTCGACACCATAGAGGGTGCGCAGGGAGTGGTCTCCCACCGCGGCTGCTATGTACGCTGGTCGTGCAGAACATAGCAGGCGTGGAATTTTCTCGACACCGTAGGGGGTGCGCAGGGGGTGGTCTTTGAGCGCGGTCGCTATGCACACCGGTCGCGCAGTGCACAGCAGTCGTGGCACTTTCTCGACACCAAGGGGTGGTGTCTGAGCGCGGCCGCTATGCGCGCTGGTCGTGCAGGGCATGGCAGGCGCGGCACTTACTCGACATTTTGGTGGAGCGCAGGGGGTGGTCTCTGAGCGTGGCCGCTATGCGCGCCAGTCGTCCAGGGCATAGCAGTCGTGGCTTCTCGACACCATATGGGGTGCGCAGGGGGTGGTCTTTGTGCGCGGCCGCTATGCACGCCGGTCGCGAAGTGCATAACAGGCGTGGCACTTTCTCGACACCACAGGGGGTGCGCAGGGGGTGCGGTGTCCCAGAGCCTAGCGCGCGTGGCATTTTTCCGAGGCCACAAGGGCACGCAAGCGGGGAGGGCGCTACCATCATCATCCCAAACTGTAGCCACCCTGGCTTATGCAGGCTCAGGCTGCTCGATACGTGAACGTGGACGAGCGCCAGTGATACTCCGTAAAATAGCGCGGTCCCCGTCATGGCGCCCAGATGCGCCGTATCCGCGCTGTCACCGCCGTGCGAGCATCTCAAGGGCGCAATGCTAGAGATGGATGGGCGCCGAGGTGAACCTGAATGGTTTGCGCGGGTATGTTGTCAGGCATGGGAACGTTTTGGTGCACAACGCATTTGGTTCTTACCACAGACAGCTGGCAAACTGGTGGCCTGCAACGCTCCTGGGTACATTGAGGTGCCGCGTGAACGAGTCGCCGACGATGCCAGGAGGCAGTGGTTGGCTAGGTACTTGCTGAAGCTTTCGTCTGCATCATTCTCGCCGCAAGTTTCACGTCAGCTATCATCACGCCAAACGTAAGACAAGATTGTGGCGTTCCTCGCTGGCATAATTTTGGGCGCTCGCAGGCGCGGCCGGGCGCTTGCAAACGAGCCCAGGGAAACATTTTGGTGCCTTTCTCCCGCGGCCATTCTTGGCGGCAGCTCTGGGGCCATTTCGCGCGAGCAATTTTGTGCTGGCAATTTCGCTCTGGCAATTTCGCGCCCCTGTGTCGTTCTCCCAGCCGCCCGTGCTTGTCGGCCGCCGCTGACGAGCTGGTTTGCGTTTGCCGCGGCGACGACGCTGATAGGGCAAAGCGCTGCTAACGCTCACGGTCGCAGTGATGACGGTTCGCGTGTTAGGCGGGTTGCCAGGGGTGTCCATCCCGCCGTGCTGCAGATGACGAATCATGCAAAAGTGCCTGGGGCGCACAGGCACTTTCGTGGCCCATTTCGTGCCCTACTGTGTCATCAAAAGGGTCATCTTCTGTGATTATGGTGTCATGGAGCGTGTGAGGGGTGTGCCGAAT